ACACATTCAAAGAGGAACTGGTTACACAGTTCATAATAATGTTGATAAATTTGTCATCCATACCCACATCACACAGAACCTGCTTTAAAAAGGCCCAATCAATTCTATCATAAGCCTTTTGTAAGTCTATTTTCAAGGCCATGAAGCCACGCTTACCCCTAGCTTTCTTCATTGTATGCAATAACTCTCCCCACTATGATATTGTCTTGTATGTGTCTCCCAAAGATAAATCCGGATTGGAAGGGCGATATAATCTCCTTCATAATATTCTTCAGCCGATGGGTAAGCACTTTAGTGATGCACTTGTAGTGAACAGAGCATAGAGAAATCGGTCTAAAGTGCTCTACCCTTTGGGGATGTTTTCTTTTTGGGATGAGGGAGATGAAAGTCTTATTAGCCTCTGCCAAAGAAGTGCTTCCTTCAAAAGCTCCTTTCACAAAACTACAAAAACTTGGTCCCACCGTATTCCAATTGGCTTGATAAAAAACAGGAGGGAAACCATCCACACCGGGTGCTTTGTAAGGTCCCATAGCAAAAAGGGCCCTACGAATTTCTTCATTAGAAGGTACAGACCCCAAAGAATTTAACTGTGACTGTGAAAGCTTAGGGAAATTGCTAACAGACTTGAGCGAGCCAGGGGAATTTGCTTCAGATTGGAACAACTTTTTAAAAGAGGAAATAATCAGCTCCTTCACCTCCTCTTCCCTTTCTACCCAGTTTCCATAATCATCCTGCAAAGCTAACACTTTATTTCTTCGTCTTCTTATGGTCGTCCTTAGATGATAATATCTAGTATTCCTATCACCTTTGGAGACCCATTCAGATCTTGACTTTTGAAACCATTTAATTTCTTCCAGCTTTAATAAATCATCTAATTTATTCTGTAAATCCCATTCAAGCTGACAGAGAAACCTTGAGAAAGGATAAGCTGCAGAGGATTGAATGCCATTCAGCCGCGCTAAGATTTCTTTTTTCCTTTGTTCAACTAAGCCAAAAACATTTTTATTCCAGGCTTGAATGTTTCCTTTGAAATTTTCGATATTAACTATCAAATCATTATCCAAGGTCCAGTTTTCTTGAAGAAATTTATTGAAATCTTCATGACACAACCACATAGCTTCAAAACGAAAAGGACGACGCTGAAAGGAAGGCCTATCAATTATCCCCAAATTCAAACAGAGAGGGTTATGATCAGAGAAATGAGACCGAGGCATTACCTTAACAAAACCATTCTGGAAAGCCATCAAAAAATTGTTATTAACAAGGACCCTATCAAGTCTTTCATAAAGCCTTGCTCTGCCAGTCATTCGAGGACCTTTCCAAGTAAATTTAGGTCCAATAGCTCCTAAATCCGTAAGTGAACAGTCAAGAATTCGGTCATGAAACCAGTTGATCCGAGCAAGATTAACATTTCCGCCCCCTGTTCTTTCTGAAGCTGAAAGCACATCATTGAAGTCACCAATCACAGCCCAAGGTTGGAAAATGTTAGCCGCAAGGTTGATCAGTTTCGCCCAGAAGCACTGTCTGAAATTTGAATGGGGCAAGACATAGACAGCGGTTAAGAGGAAGCTAGAAGCATTATTCACTGAACATTGAAGATGTATAAACTGCCTATCTTCCAGTAAGACATTAACAGAGATGATAGAGCTCTTCCAGGCTACCACAATACCTCCCGATCGCCCAACGCTAGGAACCATCTTCAAGGCGTCATAACCAAGTAATTTCAAACAAGTGAAACGGGTTTCATCAGAGCACCTTGTTTCAGCAAGTATTACAATACTCGGTCTAGGCCCATTTAAAATGGGAGCTAAATTTCGAAAGAGGCCCTTTCCACTTGAACCTCTTGTATTCCAATAAAAAAAGCTATCCATAAAAAACCAGAAAGACAGAGGAGCTAAACGCAGTTTATGGCCCATTGGGCTCTTGTGTCTCTGGCACAATTGTTTCCCTGCTGAGCATTATTTTTTCATCCGAGGAAATAGGCTCTCTTAATGGGCTCTCCAGGTTTGATCCAAAACACATCTCTCCTGGGTCCACTTGTGTCTGCCGCCTATCTCCTGGATCATGAGGCAAAGGATCAAATTCTTTTTCTATCATTAAGGTATCGTGCGCCGCCACCAACTGGTCCCCACCCTCTCCATTGCTTCTTTCCACATTCTCGTCATTCTCATATTGATTTCCTTCTCCCATTGTAAGCATTAAAATATCCTCCCCTTGTCTCCTCCCAACTTCCATCACGTCTCTTGTCCTCTTCTCAATTCTCCTTGCATTATCTCTCTGCTGTACTATTTGCTTTTGTGCGCGTTGGTCCTGGTCGTTCACAACCACGATCTTCCTGCTCTGCTTAGTATTGCTCTCACTTTTCCGGACCTTATCAGACCGTTTCCTCACCAATTGTTGCTGCTCAGGACGTGCAGGCACTATTTCGTCCTCTTGCTCCACCTCAACCTCATTTTCATTAATTCCCTGATTAACTGTCTCCACGTCAGCTAGTATAGTAAATCTTGATCCTAATTTCGGTTGCCGTGACGTATCGCCTTGTTTCTCCTTGGACTTCCTCTGTCTGCGGTTCTTCTGTACCACCTTCCATTGCTCTTGGACTATATCCTTATCTGCGTTCCTCTGTTCTTTACCGGCAGTAGCAGAGCCATCCAGCGTGGTACCATTAATTCCATTCGAGCTTCCTCTCGTTGGGCATATCTCCGCTCTGTGTCCATAGACTCCACAATGTGTACATAGAAGGTGAAGGCCCTCATATTCTAGATAATGATTTTCTCCATCCAAAGTAAACCCCTGCATCAATTGTTTACCCAACTCAACCTGCACACAGATTCTTGCAAAGTGTCCCCTAAGTTGACATGAGGTGTTCATGTCTACTTTTAAGGTCTTCCCTATCCGGTTGCCAATCACTGTGAGTGCTTCTTCATCATAGTATTCCAAGGGAACTTTCGGTAGTCTAACCCAAACAGCCGCTTCATCAATAGTTGCTCTCTCAGGTTTAAACTGCGGTGCCCATGGTCTGACTGTAAGGTAATGATCATAAATCATCCAAGGGCCCCCAGTTAAAGCTTTGAAATAATCTTCCTTATTCGAAAGCTTCACCACAAAGAAACCGAATCCGATATTTATCAGATTAATCACCCCTCTTCTAGCCCACATAGACTGCAGTATGGATTCCAGAGCTTTATAGCCAATGTTTCTTCCCAGCAGCTTAACTATGACCGCTTTGCTCCAAGCTCTATATAACCTTTTCTTCATTTTGTTTGAGAAGACGAAGGTCGGGAAATTTCTGTTAGGATCTTCAGTCGTCTTGAATAAAGGTTCATCACTCATAGCGTCCTGCGATTTCTCCGACATGTTATCATCAGACATCTCATCTTCATCAATCTGACCATCCCCTACCTCATAATCATCATTTCCGCTTGTCCCTTTCAGTTTGTCCACAAAGGAAGTTCCTCCTTTTTGGAACGTGCTACTTTTACCTTGAAGACTCGGCCACTGTTCATTCATAGGATCGAAGGAGCCTTCTCGTTGTGCATTCTTAATTTTCTTGGAGCTTCTAGCAAGCTGATCATCTTCCTCTGTTGAGGCAGGAACAGCATTGTTCTTTTTCCCGGAGAGAACGAGAGCCATTTTTGAAACAAAGTCAGTCTAGCTATTTTCTTTTTTAAAAAAAAAGTAAGATTGAACAAACATAAGTTAGGCTTCTATATGGACAGGTTTCATTGTTTTTTTTTTTTTGTATTTATTCTTCAATTGTTTTTGGAAAATTGAAAAACAAACTCTATTAAAATCTTATTGGTGAGAATAAATTAAATCAAAGTATTGATGCTCAATGTGTATAAAATTTTCATAATCACGTTGGATGTATAAAACTACTAGATCCTTTACACCAATAAAATTTCTAGCGAGAGACTTTTTTCTAATTTTTCTTTTTGACCTATTTAATGCATTTATCTGAAATCTTACTATAAAATAAAATTTTAACACTATGAGACTTAATTTGAAATGACTCTCCTAGCATAATTTTTTTCACGCGACAATTTTTTTTTATAGCAAAACTTCACTTAACAATATTTTAAAAAAAATCTAGTTCATCCGCGACCGCTATTTTTTTTCCGTTGTACTTTTTAATATGAACAATTTATTAAATTTAAGATCTTTATCATACGCTAATGTTTATATCAAGCGATGGGATAAAAAATTTTCATATAAAATATTTTTGTAAAAATCATTAAGCCAATGGTGAATTGTGCAACTCAATCTTCAAATTTTTAAACTTGACTTGCTGACGTAAAGTAGCCTAGAGTTATGTTCGAACTTAATTCAATCAATGAGATGAACCAAATTAAAATACGTTATTCTTTTTTTTTCTATTAAAATATTTTGTCACGTTGTGAGGGACTAGCCTTTTATTTTATATGCAAAGAACTAATACCGAGTTGCACCAGGTGGGCTCATTCCCAAGCTAGGTCAAAAGGCGGAGACTTTAACCCGAACAAATGGCAAACCGTCCGCCAATGACGGTTAAATGTAGTGAACGAATCAATGTCCGTACAAAATTTTACTATCCGGTCTTAATTATAATTAAGACTGGAGGCAGTAACAGTCACCCTGGTTTTTCTTCGAATTTGCGTTTGCAAATTTTATCCACCAAACAACCCCGAATTCATTTTCAGACTTCAAAATATTTTATATATATTTTTCAGATTTCAAATCCTTCTATCCAGTAAAATTTTTAATTAGAACTTTTCTGTTGTTTTCCCCTTTTTTTTCTCTTATGAAGAGTGATAGTAATGCCTCTGGTTGGAGTGCAGTATGTGAGAAGAATTTCCAATGATGCGAATACGTACCTTTGGGGCGTCCAATTATAATCCCAAAAAAGCACTAAAGCTACAGCTTGTGTCCACATTCTAGAAAGAAAATTACCATTAAACACACACTCAAGGGGGGAGCAACTGCCATATATTATGCAAACTAAATATAAGATTGCCTCTCCCAAGATACATCAAACACCAATTTTATGAAACAAAAGGAAAATCAAGACAGACAAGCATTGTTACACAGGAATGCCCTCCGACGAACATCTAACAATAAGGGTTGGGACTATTCTACATATTATTGTCTTTCCAGCTACGCATTTCCATGACCTTGCCCCCTGAGAGATCCCAGCAACCGCACCTCTGAGGCAATCTCGGCAGATTAACTCGGGACGACCATTGTATTCTCAGTAATCAGTGATCACATTATCGAACATGAACATATAGGTTTTTTAGGAGCTTCATCAACTTTTTTCTCTGTCCAAACCAACCAAAAAAAAAAAAAAAATTGGCATCCCGTCAGAGATCACAATATCTTTCTTGTTCGCATTTGATCATCACCTTGACAAAAGACATCGAGTGATTTACAATTCTACCATATAATCTACCTTTTCTCCATTTTTGGAGGGATTTAATTCCCTCCACTTTTAACAAATGCATTAACTCCATCATTTATAGGGCGGTCATTTACTCATTAGCATATGTATCTGCACTCCTTGGCATATGTGAACAGCTAAGCTATAAAACAAGCATAGATGCATTGATTACTGAAGTAAACTTGTCAACCAATGTAACTACTAGAACATATTTACACAAATTACATAAGTTTACCTGTTTTTGCTTTTGCCAGAGATGGCTGGACCACAACATGCATGGTGATAACTCCTCTGGGTAGATCACCGAAAGGAACCTTACATTGGCCCACTATTTTGTTGTTTTCCAAAATTTTCCCAGCATTTATCAATTTTACGTCATTTGCTGCCTTTGGGACAATTTTCTTATCCGTGGACAGGACGGTAAAAACGACTTCAGAGATGGCAAGAAAAACAAAAAAGGAATTTAAAAGTGCATAATCACCATAAGCATAATCTCTAGAAGGGAACTGTGCAATATAAATTTAAGAGAAAATAAAAAAAGTTATGTTTTTATATGGACAAAGTTTTATTTCAATTATTTATTGTGTTAAATAGGACTTGTTAATATCAAAAAACCATGAACATAAAAACAAATAATGATTTTTTTAAATTTAAGATCTTTATCGCACGTTAATTTTTAGATTAAGTAATGGAATAAAAAGAAAATTATCTAAATATCAAACTTCTGACGAACTTAGTTTTTTTGTTGTTGGTAAAAATCATTAATCCAATGACGCTCATAAATAAGGACATTTTTATAAGGGAAAATAAATTTCATATACTTTGTTGTGAGTCAATTATATTTTTGAAAATTTGTAATACCTTATCCATTTCAAAACGAGTCAGGTATGATATTATGATATCCAAATATATTCAATTAATTATATTTGAATAATATTTTGATTCGGATTTGGGTATGTTGAATAAAATGGTGAGTGTTGTTATTAACTGAGATTTTAATTGGAGGCGCAAATAAAAAAATTAATAATTAATTTTGAAATTGAATAATATCTTAATTAGAATTTGAATATATTAAATTAAATGAGAAGCATCATTATTAAATAGTATGTCAATTGAGAGCTCAAATAGATAGATAAATAAATAATTTTGAATTTTCACATGTTCACCTTAGATTCAGCACCTTTAATCCAAATCTCATTTAAATGAATTAAAAAAAATCATATTCCTATAAAGAATGATATTGAGCTACCTTAGATAATACTCCTTCAGTTCCTTATTATAAGAGACATTTGATGCTTATGGCATGTTCCTACATATAAGAGACACTTAAAACTTGTTTCTACCTTTTTGTGTTGATTTCCTATTTTACTCATATTTATTGTCTCCAACTCACACTCTCTCTCCCTCCCACTTTTCTTTCTTTTAATAATTTAATTGTTCTCTCTCATGCTCTCTCTCCTTATTAATGAGGGTATTTTTGGAAAAAAATTATATTTTTTACACATTGATTGTTCTTAACTAATTTTAACTGCTTTTTTTATCAACATAATTCAATTATTCATCTCTTATAATAAGGAACGGAGGGAGTATAATTTATTAAAATTTAAAATCTAATTAAATATTCTAGTCCATGTATCATACCGGAGAAAAAATTTTAGTTTATTTCTTATGGATTGTCGTTAAATTAAATATGCGCAACAAAGTGTGATAATGATCAGCGGCTCTCTCCGCTCGAAGCTGCCAACTTTCATGGTGTTATACTTGTAAACTTGCTACGCTATATCTTACTGTAATTAATTAATTAATTAATGAGCCGCAAAAACAATAAATGCGACAAGACCAAAAGTCAAAACCCCCGAGAAAAAAAATTGACGATGCATGCCAGTTTCAAACAACATCACAAAAGCACACAAATTAGATAATGTGCGAGTGTTTGGAAATGAAATGCTATTACACTTATTGATATTATTGTAATACGGTGCATGATGGAGGGTAAAGATAGAAGGACGAAAGGAAGGGACCACAGACGGTGTACATGTACCGTGATGAAATGCCTCTGATGATGGGTTTGTGTCGCCCAAACACGCCACAAAGGATGATAAGCATATCACAACCACAAACACCAACTGTTTCATCCCCATTTTTCATTCGCGGTATGATTCCTCATTAATAATCAATCGCAGTGACTCAACTCAACAAGTTGGTGGCCTTTTATGACGGCTGGCGTGAACATTGTCGTTTTTCTGCGCCGCCCACGCGTAGATGGCGAGAGATCTGTCTTATCAAAACTGTTGTCTTCATGTTAAGAGATTTTTCCATATAGTTATTCTGCTCACGTGGGGGATGAACTAGATTATTCAGAAACACGTCGCCACGTGAAACACATACCATACCACTTTATTTCTTTCCGATGTATTCTGTCTATCTACTACATGCTCCTCTAATCCTACTTACAGGGTAGAGGGAGAGAAAAAAATTTTTTGGTCATATTTATAAGGTATTTAAAAATTTTGTATGTGAATGTATAATTTTACTTTTTATTTATTATCGTGTTCACTTTATTTACATAAAGTATCATGTATTTTCACGTTTTTCCCTAAATTCTTATGTGCATTGTACATATCATACTTCTCCCGTCTTAAATATAAAACTCATTTTGTGGTGTAAATTACATCACAAAGTGGGTCTTATATTTAAGACCGAAAGAATATATGTAGATTTATATCATATATTTCCACGTTTTTTCCCAAATTCCTGTGGGCATTGTACGTATTATATATGTAGATTTATATAATATATTACCACGTTTTTTTGGGTCAAATTCTTGGGTGCATTATAGGTATTATATATAGATTTTTTTGAAATAAATAAATAAATACTATTTCTAATCCTTAGTATAACATTTAATTGACTAATTTGAGTAGATTAAGAAAATTAATTAAATTAGTTATTTGTGATAAATAGGTATTGTCTTTCTTAAAATATCCTTGCTAATCATTTGTAATGTCTTACTTTTCCGCTCAAAAACAAAAACTGAAGGCCCATGCATCGAGTACTATGTATAATATTAAAGATTTATACCATATACACCCACGTTTCCGTGATGAACAGAACAGTTGGACACTATTATATTACAGAGTAGGCCATGGGCATGGATCAGCATCTCAAAAATTTCTGATAGGGTATTGTTTATAATCATGAGCAAGATCGGCTGTGATTATTTGTTCAAATAAAAACAAAGGAAGAAGTGGAGAGTACATTATTTCTAGCCAATCGTTTTTTTCCCCCTTAAAACAAGAAGTTCATGATTAACATCTTTCCCACAATTCAATGTAACATCGTAGACTTGTTAATGTTTCAAATCTTGTCTGCATCTCATATATTTATCAGAGATTTAATTTGATGATAAGCTAATAGTAACGCGAACTTTGATATCCATGCATCCATATACTTTGTTAAGAGATGTGATTTTATTAATCTAATAATTGAATTAAAAAAGTTGGCATGGGCATGTTTAGTTCGTCAATAGAAAATTTAAGAGAAAATAAAAAAAAGTTGTTTAGTTCGTCAATAGAAAATTTAAGAGAAACTAAAAAAAAAGTTATGTTTTTATATGGACAAAGTTTTATGTTTTTAATTATATGTATTGTGTTAAATAGGACTTGTTAATATCAAAAAATATGAACGTAAAGAAAAATAATGAAATTTTTTTAAAATTTAAGATCTTTATCACACGTTAATGTTTAGATTGAGTAATTGAATAAAAAGAAAATTATCTAAATATCAAACTTCTGATGAACTTAGGTTTTTTTTTTTGTCTTGTAAAAATCATTAATCCAAGGGCGCTCATAAATAAGAATACTTTTAGAAGAGAAAATAAATTTCATCATACTTAGTTGTGAATTTATTTCTCATGGATTGTCGTTAGATTAAATATGTGTAACAAAATATGATAATGATCAGCGGCTATCTCTGCTCGAAGCAGCCAATTTTCAAGGTTTTATATATACTTGTAAACTTGCCACAGTATATCTTACTGTAATTAATTAATTAATTAATTAATTAATGAGCCCCAAAAACAATAAAAGTCAAAATCCCCGAGGAAAAAAATTGATGATGCCACTTTGAAACAACATCACAAAAGCACACAAATTAGATAATGTACCAGTGTACGTTTGGAAATGAAATGCTATTACATTTATTGATATTGTAACACAGCACATGATTGAGGGTAAAGTTAGAAGGACGAAAGGTAGGGACCACGGACGGTGTTGTATCATACCAGAACACAAACCCTTATTGTTATTTCATTTCCCTTTATTCATTAACTTTTATTTATTATTAATGATGACATAGCACCATAGCAGGAGCGCTGCTGCTCTGTGGAGGGTCTACTGCTCCAAGGCATAAGACACCCACCTGAATCCAAGAAAGAATATACATATCATCATCATCAACAAGGTGGTCATTTCATTAAAATATATAACAGAACTATATGAGATGATGACATGCATGTTACTGCACATAATTAAATTAGAAAGGAAGGAGAAATATATATTGTGATACCCGGTAGAGCGAGGTGGAGGTGAAACAGCAGGAGGACCAGCAAATTTGATAAATGTATTGTCGCAGAGTGTAAGGGCGTCGTCTTTCACACACAGACGAATCTCAGCCAGAGATTTACCACTGCCAGTATCGGTGAGGCTTAGTGAGGGAACAGAACCGGTAGCTTCTACGACGGCGTGAAGTATATCCAACTGCCGATAACTACCTCCATCTGCTTTCACACCTATATATAAATGAACAACCTCCATCCAAGTCAAGTACTCTCTATCAATCATCATCCTCATATTCAATTATTTACCCACAGAGAGAAACACGCATATTACCTCTGTCTTTCAGAGCCTGGGAGATTTTGTCCGAGTACATTTTGGCCAGATAAATACTTTTTTGGAAGTAGTCTAATGCCTTGAACTTGTTTGCAGAACAGGTTCCGTGCTTTTTCCACTCGTCTCTCCAAAATTTCTTGCTGCTTTCAAAGTCTTCTGCATTCTTTAGATCAGGCCAGTATGTGAGCAGCTCGTAATTATCCCTCAACTCTTCAAGCTGCATCACCGTGCAAATATCAAAGGCCACAAAAGAATAGGAAGTTAGTTAATAAAAGGAAAACACACACACTCGCGCACTGAGACGTATGAGTAATAACAAAAGCAGGCAGGAATATGTATATTAATTACGGTTTCGTCGGTGAGCACTTCTTTTGTTTTGCAGTTCACTGCACCATCTTTGGCCTGGGGCCAAAGTCCATGGATGGTGAAATCTTGGGTGGGGATGGGGGGGTTGCAGCGTGTGGTGCTGCAATATTGGTTAGGCCATTGCAAGGCAAGCAAGAAATACTTAAAGCCTGGCTGACGTTTTGGTGGTGCTCGCAATAATAATGCCTCTGATGATGGGTTCGTGTCGCCCAAACACGCCACAAATGATGATAAGCATATCACAACCACAAACACCAACTCTTTCATCTCCATCTTATATAATTCCTAATCAATGATCAATCGCAATGACTCAACTCAATCAGTTACTGGCGTTTTATAATACCTGCCGTGAACATTGTCGTTGTTCTACGCCGGCCACGCGCACATGGCGAGAGATCTCTCGTATCCAAACTATTGTCTTCATATGTTAGAGATTTTTCCATATGGTTACATTCTGCTTACATGGGGGATGAACTGGATTATTCTCTTCATATTGTCACGCGAAACACGTCACCACGTGAAACATGTACCATACCACTTTATTTCTTTCCGATGTATTCTATCTATCTACTAAATACTCCTATAATCCTAGTTATAAAGTAGAGAGAGAAAAAAAAAATTTGTCCTATTTATAAGACACTGAGAAAATTTTTTTATATGGATGTATAATTTTATCCTTTATTTATTATCGTGTTGACTTTGTTTACATGAGGTATCATATATTTCTATGTTTTTTTCCCAAATTTTTACGTGCATTGTACGTATTATACTCCTCCAATCCTAAATATAAGATCCATTTTGTAGTGTAAATTGCACTACAAAGTAGGTCTTATATTTACGACCAAAGGAATATATGTAGATTTATACTAGGACTGAGTAAACGGTTAATCGGTTCGGTTAGTGTTAATAACCGAAATAACCGAATAACCGAAATGATCACAATGAAGAAATCGAATCGAAATCAAACATAGTAAACTAACCGAACCGAAATAACCGAAATATGTTCGGTTCGGTTAGTGGGCTTATTCGGTTAAAAATAATGACCAATGCGCATAAAAGAGGAAAATAACAAAGTATATGCTAATGAAAAGAAAGGAAGATGGAGGAAGACGGAGGCGAAAAGCCAAAACATTGAAAATTAAATGGAACTCTTCTATTATTAAAAAGGGGGAAAATGGATCTTTTCAATGCTCTTGCTGATCTGCGATGACCGATCGAAGTCGAAGAAGGGAGTTTGAAGTTTGAAGTTCAAACTTTGAACCTTGCGACGGCGACAGACTTAGGGCGATCTGCGAAAACTTCAAAAACACTGTGCAATCTGCCTGCAGGCTTAGGGCTTGGAGAAGGGATGGGAGTCGAGAGTCTGGGAGAGAGGGAGCGAGCTGCGAGCCTACGAGCGTCGAGTGAGGTGTGGGTGTGAAGGAGTGTGAGGCCGTGACCCGTGAAGGACTGAAGGTGTGAGCGACTGAGCGTGAAGGTGAAGGCGAGAAGGGCCGGTGTGGCGGTGTGGGTCACGGGACTATTGTCTATTGGACTGGATCACTGGAATGACTGGATAGATGGAGTCAAAAGAAAATAAAAAGAGTAGCTGGGCCACGGGAATTGGAGAGACCAGGAGAGAAATATTTTTTTAAAAAAAACTGTTCAAATTCGGTTATTTCGGTACTAACCGAATTATTTTTCAGGACACCGAACTGAACACCGATAACCGAAGTAACCGAAAAAAATAATAACCAAAATAACCAAACCGAAATAACCGAATTGAGTTCGGTTCAGTTCGGTTTTCGGTTCCGATTCGGTTTTGCTCATCCCTAATTTATACTACCTCTGGTCCTAATTACAAGAGCTAGTTGACTAATGTAAGGAGGTTAAGGAAATAAGTTAATTTAGTTATTTGTAATAAATAAGTATTGTCTTTCCAAAAATATTTTTGCTAATCAAGTATATTGGCTAGAACTACCATTATTAGAAAGATTATCTTAGAAAAAAAGGAGCATAAATATGAGAGATAAAGTAGATGAGGATCTTATATTTAGAATCAAAATAAAAGTCGAATGAGATATTATATTAAGGACTAGAGGTAGTATCATATATTTTCACGTTTTTTCCCAAATTCTTGCGTGCGTTGTGCGTATTATATATGTAGATTTATATCATATATTACCACATTTTTTGGGGTCAAATTCTTGCGTGCATTATACGTAATATAGATTTTTTTTTGAAATAAATGAATAAATACTACCCCTAATCCTTAATATAAAGCAGTGGCCCTTGCCATCCAGAAATCTGTTCATAAACGAGAGGTGAATGCATAAGATCTCACCCCATGGAAGAACCTCACATGCAGATTCCTAAGGCCAATATTTCTCCTTGCCTTTGTCTTCCCAATGCCTACTGTGCTTATGGGAAGTAGAGAACTGAGAGGGCAGGGAAGATAGAGTGGCCAGTTCTCTGTAACATGTGGGTGTATGTGGATGTATAATTTACTTTTTATTTATTATCGTGTTCACTTTATTTACATAAAGTATCATGTATTTTCACGTTTTTCCCTAAATTCTTATGTGCATTGTACATATCATACTTCTCCAGTTTTAAATATAAAACTCATTTTGTGGTGTAAATTACATCACAAAGTGGGTCTTATATTTAAGACCGAAAGAATATATGTAGATTTATATCATATATTTCCACGTTTTTTCCCAAATTCCTGTGGGCATTGTACGTATTATATATGTAGATTTATATAATATATTACCACGTTTTTTTGGGTCAAATTCTTGGGTGCATTATAGGTATTATATATAGATTTTTTTTGAAATAAATAAATAAATACTATTTCTAATCCTTAGTATAACATTTAATTGACTAATTTGAGTAGATTAAGAAAATTAATTAAATTAGTTATTTGTGATAAATAGGTATTGTCTTTCTTAAAATATCCTTGCTAATCATTTGTAATGTCTTACTTTTCCGCTCAAAAACAAAAACTGAAGGCCCATGCATCGAGTACTATGTATAATATTAAAGATTTATACCATATACACCCACGTTTCCGTGATGAACAGAACAGTTGGACACTATTATATTACAGAGTAGGCCATGGGCATGGATCAGCATCTCAAAAATTTCTGATAGGGTATTGTTTATAATCATGAGCAAGATCGGCTGTGATTATTTGTTCAAATAAAAACAAAGGAAGAAGTGGAGAGTACATTATTTCTAGCCAATCGTTTTTTTCCCCCTTAAAACAAGAAGTTCATGATTAACATCTTTCCCACAATTCAATGTAACATCGTAGACTTGTTAATGTTTCAAATCTTGTCTGCATCTCATATATTTATCAGAGATTTAATTTGATGATAAGCTAATAGTAACGCGAACTTTGATATCCATGCATCCATATACTTTGTTAAGAGATGTGATTTTATTAATCTAATAATTGAATTAAAAAAGTTGGCATGGGCATGTTTAGTTCGTCAATAGAAAATTTAAGAGAAAATAAAAAAAAGTTGTTTAGTTCGTCAATAGAAAATTTAAGAGAAACTAAAAAAAAAGTTATGTTTTTATATGGACAAAGTTTTATGTGTTTATATGTATTGTGAATTTATTTCATCATACTTAGTTGTGAATTTATTTCTCGTGGCTTGTCGTTAGATTAAATATGTGCAACAAAGTATGATAATGGTCAGCGGCTCTCTCTGCTCGAAGCAGCCAACTTTCATGGTTTTATACTTGTAAACCTGCTACGCTATATCTTACTGTAATTAATTAATGAGCCGCAAAAACAATAAATGCGACAAGACCAAAAGTCAAAACCCCCGAGGAAAAAAAATTGACGATGCCACTTTGAAACAGCGTCACAAAAGCACACAAATTAGATAATGTGCCAATGTTTGGAAATGAAATGCTATTACATTTATTGATATTGTAGTACAGTACATGATGGAGGGTAAAGATAGAAGGACGAAAGGTAGGGACCACGGACGATGTTGTATTATACCAGAACACAGATCCTTATTGTCATTTCATTTCCCTTTATTCATTAACTTAGCAAGCATATATATTTATTATCAATGATGATATAGCACCATTATATTGCAGGAGAGCTGCTGCTCTGTGGAGGGTCTACTACTCCAAGGCATATGACGCCCACCTGAATCCAAGAAAGAATATACATATCATCATCATCAACAAGGTGGTCATTTCATTAAAATATACTACCTCCTATTCTTAATATAAGATATTGTTTGACTTTTATTTTGATCCTAAATATAAGATCCCAATCTATTTTGTCTTTCATATTTATGTATTTTTTTCTAAGGAATTCTTCTAATAATAATAGTTCTAACCAATACACTTGATTCGTAAGGACATTTTAAGAAAGACAACACATTTATTATAAATAACTAACTTAACTTATTTCTTTAATCTCTTCAAATTAGTCAACTAGCTCTTATAATTAGAACCGGAGGTAGTATAACAGAACTATATGAGATGACATGCATGTTACTACGTATAATTAAATAGGAAAGGAAGGAGAAATATTGTGATACCCGGTAGAGCCAGGTGGAGGGGGAGGGGAAACAGGAGGACGACCAGCAAATGTGGTAAAGTCAATTTCGTCGCAATTAAAGAGTGTAACGGCGTCGTCTTTCACACACAGACGAATCTCAGCCAGAGATTTACTGCCAGAACCGGTGAGCTTAGTAAGGGAACAAAACCGGTAGCTTCTACGACGGCGCAATGTATGCGCCACTTCAGATATTTACCTCCATCTGCTTTCACACCCATGTATAAATGAACAACCTCCATCCAAGTCAAGTCACTCTCTATCAATCGTCATCCATATATTCAATTATTTACCCGCACAGTGAAACACACATATTACCTTTCTGTTTCAGAGCCTGGGAGATTTAGTCCGAGTATTTTTTGGCCAGATCAATACTTTTTTGGAAGTACTCTAATGCCTTGAACTTGTTTGCAGAACAGGTTCCGTGCTTTTTCCACTCGTATCTCCAAAAGTTCTTGCTGCTTTCAAAGTCTTCTGCATTCTTTAGATCAGGCCAGTATGTGAGCAGCTCGTAATTATCCCTCAACTCTTCAAGCTGCATCACCGTGCAAATATCAAAGGCCACAAAAGAATAGGAAGTTAGTTAATAAAAGGAAAACACACACACTCTCACGCACAGAGACGTATGAATAATAACAAAAGCAGGCAGGAATATGTATATTAATTACGTCAGCGTCGGTGAGCTCTTCGGTTGTTTCGCAGTTCCATGCACG